CACTAATTAAAGTGACGCTTTATATTTTTTTTTTAACAGAGGTACCCACTTACGCGGGTACCTCTGTTAAAAAAAAAAGCAACCATCAGCAAAATTAATTAGTGACCGGAAGTGCCAAATAGTAGAGTGTCAACAACGTTGAAACGTTGATGCCAAATAGTAGAGTGTCAACAACATTGAAACGTTGATTTTTATTATAATTTATTCTTTTGCGTAATAAATCACATGTCTCGTACCTTATTTATCTTAATGCCAAGCACATTTAATCAGTCAATAATATTAAATTTATAAGTACAATATATTCCTTCTGAATATTTCGCTAAACCTCAGGTATTAGAAAGAGAAAATGTGGGTTAAATGTGAACAGTGTAATATGGCGCAGCCCAAGCCATTCAGAATAGATATAAAGTTATCTTTTGATAAATAAAAAATTTTTTAACATGCTCAATTTAATTTTCATTGATGTTTAATAGTTATTTCTTTTTAGGTCTAACATTATTTTATTTTCTTACTTTATAATTTTTCGTATTTAAGCGTTATTATTAGTTGTGTAGACGAACTTATTGAAAACTAAACTCATATACAATTTTGGTAATAAAATTAAATTCTTACGTTAAAGTTAATAAATTTAAATAAAGTTATCCAAATATCACTACAAAGAAGTTGGAAAAATTATTTAAATTTCTAAATTTTATATAATAATGATAATCTGAATAATGCTAACCAGATTTTGATAGAGTTGATTAACTACTGATATCCGACAAACTAATATGATCATGAAAAAAATTCTTTTTACGATGTAATTATTTTAGTATTCATGATCATAAATCGCCGGATAACACCATTATTGAGCAAATTGTCGAATACGGTAATTTGACAAATGATTATTGGCTACACGTGCCGCCTTGCGGCACGTGCTCATTTGCCAATTTACCGTTATTCGACAATTTTTGCCCAATAATAATAATGTATACATAGTCTGATCGAACCCATTTCTAATCCGAATTAACACTAGTAAAACTGCTATATTAAATAAATGCTATATAATAAATTGTTTATATAAAATATTCATTTGATTATTAATTATAGTAGTATACGTGAAAATTATTATGCATTGGTTTTTAAAAATAGGCAACTCTCTAAGCAACCTTTAATTGCTTTGCTTACGATCAGTGAGTAATAAAAAAATTACATTTATAGAGATCTAGTGTATATTTAGACCAGGATGCATTTTATTTAGAAAGCCGCATTTAGCATTTAGAAGTTGCATTTGCATTTAAGAGATTTTAAGAGTTACATTTAGAAAGGTTTAAATATATCAAATACAGTATGTGAAATTTTAAAAAAGATTTTGATCAAATTAAACTAAAATCAATTCTTAATACATTGTAGACTAGCAGTTTAATAAACCATTTGACTAAATAAAATATTAAACTTTTTTTATATATCTCAATTCTTTCTTTTGTTTACTATTCTTGTTTTAAATTTTTATTAGTAAATGGTAATCCGGATGCTTTTTAATTCAGAAAATAAAATTATTAATTATTAATTGATATAATGCGAAATATTAAAAAATGACGATATTAATTGACAATATTTACCAGCTCTAACAGAACCAATCATACAACTCCAGCTATAATTCTCAGCACCTGGTTCATTATCTTTTGCATAGTTCAAATTTTTACTCACTAAATCTGCTACTGGTAGATGCGCACCCGAATCCTTTGCCAATTGCTGAATATGTCTATCATATTGTAAATAAATTAGATTGATTCATGTGCAAGAAAAAAAAAAAAATTAGAAATTCAGATAATATATATTACCCTACATCCTTTAGAGCATTAGTAACAGTGAATCCAACATCATTATTAAAATTTTCTTCTACCATTTTAGTTCCTATGAACATCAAGAAAGTAGGTTAATAAAAGTTATTTTTAGATAGTGTTTAGGTAATTAATAATTTTAATTACCATAATGCACATAACTGCCACCCGTTGTATAAACAGAGGAAATAAATTCCATGACCAATTCTTTTCCAATACCAGATTTTTCACCTAAAGTAAGTCCTTCTGATAATAATTCACAAGTACCGATAATGAAAAAATTTCCAATTAACTTAAATTTTGATGCCTTCGTTACATCATCACCTGTGAAAACAATTTAATATGTTAGAGAATGAAAATTAGCAAGCGAAACTTTAACAATGAAGCATTTATAGGTAAAATATCTTTAAATTTTTCTAACCAACAGGTAAAATTCTCTTTCCTAACACAGGAACTAATACTGGTTGTATGTAATCAATTGCACTTTGGTTGCCAGAAGTAATAATTGATAATTGAGCACTCTAAAGAAAAGGATGTTAGATGAATAAAATTAATTTAAAATCAAATATATCATTTTAATTTTTACATTTTATTCACCTTTGCAGCTTTAGGAGGGCCCCAAACAGGACAATGTAATAAAATCGTATTATTTACATTTTCAACTTTCTCTCTAATCACACTAATTGTAGTTGGAAGAATAGTACTTGTTTCAATAAATATGGTTTTTCTCTTATTATTATCATTAATAAGTTCTAATTCTTTCAACATTTGACCATAAGTTTGATTAACAGCGTCATCATTAGCAAGTGAAGTAAAAATTATATTAGCATTTTCAATGACTTGTTTCAAACTATTAGCAGCGATGGCTCCAATTTCTTTTACTGATTGTGTTTTAGAAAATGTACGATTGTAAACGATCAATGGAGGAAGATTATTTGATGAAAAATGGGTTTGAAGGTTTATTGCCATTGGAAGTCTATTTTTTTTTTTAATAATATTGACAACAAAGAATAAATAAATAATTCGTAATTGTAACATAAAATAATTTAAGAATATTTTACCCCATGGCGCCTAATCCAATAAACGCATATCGATCAGAGTTTAAAGACATATTTTACTCTAGTTCTGGATTTTAGAATATGAAATTGGTTTTAAAAAAATCTTGGATGATAAGTGGGTTTTATAAAAAAATTATTCCTAACGTTATCTAATCATCTAAAAAATGTGTTGGTACGTATGTCGTGTAAAATCTTGAATGCATATGGTGAGACAAATGTCTTGGCTATGTAGTACATACAGGTTTAAACGTTATGACTAATTCAGTGTTGACAAATAATTAAGTTTTCTTAATAATCAACACTATTCAATTTTGGGCGGCGTTTTTTCTATAGATGGATGTATGGCGTATGATAATTTACCATTATATTACAAATAGTGCATCGAAGTTTCCTCACAATTTTTTGAAAGGAAATTCCTATTCGTCATTTTATATATACTATATTTAGTGCCATTTGCAGGTACGTAACTACTTTCAAGTTGCTACCATCTAGGGATGTTAAGTGGTCCACGGGGAACTAGTTTGGGCCAGGTCCAAACCCGGACTTTTTAGGGACTAGTAGGACTAGTTGAAAACTGGTCCAGCTCCTGCATGATATGAATAGAGTGTCATTTTTGACATCTTAAATAAAATTTGATAAAATGTGAATCAACAACAATACACCCTGAGTGGTGGTACTGTTCGTTAATTGGGAAATCAATGCCAGATACCCTAATTGGTGAATTAGGTTAAAATTAGTTAAATGCCGACTTTTCGATCAATAATGATAAAGTTTGTAATAAAATAAATGTAAAATCTATATTAAACCGCTAGGGTAGGACTACTATAGGACTTGTTTTTGACAAGGGGGTGAACTAGTTTTCAACTAGTCCTGGACCGGACTTTTTATGGGACGGACTGGGACCGGACCAGACGCACCACTTAACATCCCTACTACCATCGGTTGGGAGAGCAATTGCGGATGTTAATCCGATTCAGCTACGATGGTTAACTTGGTTCGGGATTTATAACTCTTGTACACGTGATATGATGTCACGAAACTCTTAAGGTTATCACTTAACAGATCAAACTTTAATTATCGGGGGTAAGGTAATAATAACAATAATAAAGAATAATACAATAATAAAAAAATATAATTAAACTAATAAAACAATACATAAACTCAATACATGTGAGAATCCGATTCTTATTATAAACTCTATAACTAAGACATCGAAGGTTCTGAAACACATTATGAGAGAGGAAACTTAACTAAGGCGGAAACTCAGGCCTTAAATACCTTTTACTTTCCTAAGAGCTACTGCGCTATCTTTAATCTCAACTTTCTAAGCTCTTTGTATTATCAACACTATGAAGTAGCGTTGTGCACGGGCCATGAACAGCACTATCTTGATTGTTTAGGCCAACATTGGGTGCCAACAATAACGGGCTTATCTTCCATCATATTTATCATATGCTAGATAAACAAACACTCATTGGAATTAATCCATGTTATTAAGCCTCCATTCGCCACCAAGGAGCCTCATAATATCCTTGGGTCCCGGGTAATTTGGGCGTTTAATACTGCCAAGTCTCATCTAAGTCACGGGTTTAAATTTTAAACCGGGACATTGCTAATGGTCACTACCGAAATCGACTCGATTGTATTTTAATTGCAATTTACATTTGTAAAGCTATGTATCACATGTAAAAAAAGCTTCGTTTGACGTATTATATAGGTTTCAACTTATTTATTTTTTTTACCTGATTTTTTGCCACCACATGATGGATTGTTATACCGTCTAGCACTGCATAAAGTATCCCCAACGAATATTCATCGCCCATCTGACTTAATTCTGTCGCTAGTTTTCGAAGAGCCCTTATACCTAGTAAAAGGTATACAAATAGATAATGAAATGGTTAATGAATTGAAGAATGAAAAGATAAAACGAAAATGTGAATTGAACGACTCACGTGACCATGTGATCGCGGTGGGAAATCGAGGTGTGGGGCGGCATAACTAGTGATGTGCTGTTTATATGATACCTGGAAAATTTTAGCGTACAGTACGTATAGTGCGTATAGTGTGTATAGCATGTGCAATAGTATAGTACATGTATGATATATAAACTATCTATATATAAAATTTCGCAAGGAGTAATCTTACTTAGAATACAAAAGGCGGTTTCATAATGAAACTTTTGAGATATGGATGGTTTTATAATTTGTTCTAGAATATTCTAAAATTTTTTTTTGCGTACTGTACTATACGCGGCACATCACTACACATATCAATCGCGAATTATTTAAGTAATCATAATGAGGATTTTAGTGAACTTAGAATTAATGCCGAATTAGCTGTTTGAAAAAAGTAAGTGTATAATTGCTACAGCATTTTAAAAATTTTAAAAATTACAACATTTGTTTAAACCAGAGAGATAATTCAAGTAAGGTTTATATTGTTAAGAATTTAAAAAAAAAAATTGTAAAGACATATTTCATGAACTCAAAATTCAATTTGTATATATATCTGACCTGATTATTTAGAACTAGTGATTTCAGAGTGAACAATTTAAGAATCAATAACGATAATAAGATAACTATATCATTTAAAAAAATAAGATAAATACGATTATTATAATGCATTGATACTACAAGGCCACACAAAGTTATTTTTTGTTTTACATAACCTGATGTTCCGTAATTCCATCGGCGGGTCGGATTTTTTTTTTAAAAAAAAAATTACTATAAATTAATAGATTCAATAACATGGAATCAGAAAATTCGGAATTTTCGATTTTTTTTTAGCAGACCTGTCGGGTTATTAGGTTCGCTATCGGGTGATACGGGTAAATTTACTGGAAAAATTAAATAGCAAAATGGAATAATTGGGACAATTGGAACTTAAAAAAAATAATTTTTTTTTTGAAAAATTGGGTCGGCATATTATGCAAAACGAAAAATTAACTTTGCGTGGCCTAATGTAGAAGTATGATCTGTTCGAAGCCTAAAATTAGATGGTTGGCTTATCTAAGCAATGCATCAAAATAAAACAAGCATGTTCTACAAGACACATGACAATTATAAGAATAAAAACAAAATTTTTATATATTGGCGTAAAAAACATTATCTTCGCAAGTCAAGATGAAAAACGTGTCTCAATAAGGTTTAGTAGTAATAAATCCAATTTGTCAACTATCAATGAAAGAATACTTTATTTGTTGATATGAAATTCTTTTAGATTCGTCTTTGAAAAAAGCGGTTAAGATTCTATTAGAGCGTGGTTTTTAAATTTACACTCTGTACAGATTTTTATCGATTGATAAATTATTAATAATATGACTTTAAAAATTATGGAAGACTCATAGATACTTATTGTTTTGCATATTTAATTTTATAGAGGATAATTATCGCGATTATCCAAAAGATCAATACAACAAACGTTTCTAAATAAGAACTCACGAACGATTGGTTATAATCATCTGTTTCTGGTAAGTATATGTATTTGGATTACGCCCAAATAAAAATTACTTCAAACCGGTTTCTAATTTGTACTATAATACAATTAGTGACGAACTATGCATGCACCACCACCATATTTGTCAATAAAAGTAACGCCAGAATCAATTTATAGATACTGTAAATGCAGGAGTACATGTGGCAGTGCACAGATCCGATTTGATTATGAGACAAAAAAAAAAAAAATCAAGTTCGCAATTTTACTCTCCCTATTGAACTAAAATTAAAATACAGTAAACATAATAATATATTTCAAGTAAGCATTTATAAAAGATTATTTATTCCTACTAAGCAAAACGACAAGTGAACTCAGCAGATCTTAGGGAATAATGTGTAGCATGTACAGCAAATATTTTCGCTCAAATTATTGATTAATAATTTATATATATTTACTTATACTAAATCATTGTGTTAAAAATGAGTACAAATAGTTAAGGTTTATATTAATCCGATAATATATATATTCGGATAAATTTGTTCTTTGACGATCGATAGTTTACATTGAATTATCAATATTTGTGTAATTATGTTTTAATTGGTAATTATTGTGGTGGCTGAAGCTTAAATTGAAAATTCTTTGGGGTGCATTATTTTGGCTTTCTCGCAATATTAAATTAGTAATAAATTAGAATTTAGTGTTAAGGTTGTTTTAGTAGGTTTTATAGATTCAAATAAAGACTACAAAGTTTCAGCATCACAATTATTTTGTCTGTAATCGCAACTACACCTGTAGTTGCGGTATAAAATTTCTTTTAAGAACAATATTCTGTTCGTTTCAATTTCATGAAAATTGGTTTTTAATGCCATAAAATTTTTGCAACATAAATTGTAAAAAAGAACATGGGAATACATGGATCAGGTTTCAAAGCTCAAGAGACTTCTACATTTATTAATGGGTTTCCTTTTTTTTTTTTTTAGAGAAAATCTAATCGACATCGTCATCGTAGCAAAAAAAAACACGTGCAGATATTATCCTGAAGCTATTGGTATTAAATATATATATAGTTTGTAGCAATAACAAGATAATACGTGTATTGGCTTTGATAGTCGATAAAAGTCTCAATAAAGCGAACCTTATCGCCATATCTTCCATCATTATAGTACTGTAGTCTTATCTTTTAACTTTACTCTCCTCTTTTTTTTGTCAATCAGAATTTCTGCCGAAAAACTGTAACTTATATATTTCTACCATTAGCAAAGCTTTACTTTTTTAATTATTATAATTAAATAACCTACACATTTTTAATCCATTACAACTTATTGTAGAGACATACATGATCTCTAATCCATATAATTTATGAAATGCTAATAAGGCTCTTCGTATCAAACAGTTTAAGCAAAACAAAGTTATATAATATATTTGACAGGTTAATCCTATAATAATATCCGACATTTACAATTCATATATACTGTCTATTATAACAATAGGTAGTAAAAGATATTGTCTTCTAAATAAATTTTTAGTGATACTGATCTAAATTGATTAAAAAGTTAAAGAATGCCAAGAAATGTCTTTTGGAATATTACAGTATATGCCTATCATGCTGGTTTATATCTAGATATTTTGATTTGAACTGATATTAAAAGAAAAAAAATTGGTCAGACGAAATTCAAACTTAATTCCAACCGAATATTAACTAGTACATTTTAACTAGACTCTAATTAAAATTATCTATAATGCACATTACTTAACGCTATAAATAGTTTTTTTACGGAAAAATGCGGATAAATACCAAGTTAAAACAAGTTTTTGGAATTCAAACTCCTTTAAGCATGGGCCCAAGTGCGAACAGAGGAATCTCTATCAAATATCCAAATTATCTGGAGGGTAGAGTCATGGGAAGTAATAGATCAAGTTTGTACTTCCATTTTTAGAATGGATTCATATTTAAAAAAAACCTATTGGGCAAAATTTGCAGATCACCATTAGATTAACGAATTATCGGATTTTAAATTTCAATAGCTTCTGATATCTCCATTATTATGATATAGCATCAAAAATAAAACAAATTACGTGAAATAGGGTTAGGGTTAACGATTAATGGTAATAGAGAATAAAACTATACTCAGTCATTTTCAATTGATACGAAATGTATGTACGTACTCAAATTTATTCTTTTTTTGGTTACGAACTTTAGGTTCATTTCCTAATTATTATTTCCTTTTTTGGGGTTAATCAGTTCATGAACCCTTCAATAATGGATCTCTATCAAATATCCTAATTATCCGAAACGTGGGGGCTGAAGACGTCATGAGGGAATAATAGATCAAGTTTGTGTATCTATTTTTAGATTGGATGATCATTTTATGTTCAAATGATTCTGAAATAAAAAACAGATCACCCTAAATCTAATAACCAGATTATCGAATTTCATCCTTCAAATTTCAGTAGCTTCTGATATCTAACACTTTGTTCTAGTATCGGTATAAACTAATATATACCTATGAAGTAACATCAAAAATAGAACAATCACGTGAGAATAGCTGTAATGGTTAGTGTTAAAGTAATAAAGCCATTTTATTATATGTATAGTTATTTGAATTGATACGTACAGTACGTACGTACTCTAAAGTTTATTCTTGCTGTTTACTAATTTTAGGTTGCATTGATCAGAAACATATTGTTTATTCACCAAAACTTGTGTCAATCAATCTTGATGTAGAATTGTTTATGCCAATAGTTAGCAAATTATGCTTACCACCAGAAAATTCTATACGAAAAAATATCGATATAGATAATGCTGTGCTACATAATCAGAATTTATGATAGTACATCATACATATATTTTTTACATATGTAGTGTTACTTTATAAGGCGCCGATTATATTATACAAGCAGATCTGATTGTGGCTTTAGTGTATTCTAAATAATCTTAAAAAAGTTAAAGGTTACATTGGATATAGACGGGAATTATAACAAGAATTTAGCTTAAATGTTATAAACAGTCTTTTATCGTATGGTTTAACATATCAAATCATAGGAAGCTTATGACATCAGATATAGTGTTTCTCAAATAGGTACCTAATTGAAACTCCAGAGTCGTCTAAACACTAATTTATAAAAACTCTGGCTTTTCCTATATTTTTTTTGTTGTGGATTTTTTTTTTTTAAAGGTTTTTATCAATGGTCCAATCAATAAATCGAATCAACAATGCTCAATTGAGAAATAACAATGCCCAATCACAAAGACCTCACAACATTGGTGGTCCTCAAGATGCTGGTAACCTACTTCATAGAATCCCAAATGCTGCTCTAAGGCCTCAAAACAGCACAAATCCATCTATCGATACTTTCGATGCCGATCAACAACATATTGACCTATTTAGAGGTATTTCATTCACTGAAGTGCAAGTTGTAGAAAATTCAGAAAATCCACCACCGCTGATCGACCAATTTTTTTCAGGGTACTCTTTTCCATAAATATAAAATTGGCGACACATGCTTTAATCAATTTATTTTATCGATATAGTTATGCACATAGAATTATTTTTCATTAAGCTGTACATTTTATGAAATAAGCTTATCTTTTATAATTTTATAAGTTTTTATTGCATTCTATATACCGTATTTACCCAGCTTATGTATCCGGATATTTCCCTAGTACCCTGGGTGTACGTGTGGGGATATACTGTATTGTATGGATATGAATATGTTTTATTATTTTTTCCCGGGTAAAGAAGCATGATAGTATCATACTTAGGTACCGGATATAAGTCAAAATTGGCTGTCAAAATTGTTACAGGGTACATTGCACGGGGTCTACATGTTGGTAAATACGGTAATGTTATCTTTAAAAGTATGTTACCTTAATTACCAATTTTATATGATGTTTTTATATGATATCATTTAGATTTATGAATATATGTATATATATTTAAATCGTATATAATGATAAAGAACTTGATTGTATTTGAAACCAACATGCTTAAATATTTTAAATAAATTTCGACCCAAGTTTTTGGCATTATTATTAATGTATACACAAAATTTGCCATACATTTACAATTAAACATCGAAAGAAAAAAACAGTTACAAGAATATGGGACTGTTAGGGCCGAAACTCGGAAATATATAATCTTGAGAAAATCGTGTTTACTTTTTCTGGCTGATCCGGGTTAATCGAAAATTATGTTATTTTATTGGCTGGCGATATCGGGTAATCTCGTGACGTACAAGTCTTCTAAAAAGTTTTTTTTTAAAATATCTTGGTTTTTTATTATGCAACCCAATTTCCATTTCTAATTGAAAAGTATAGCCCACCTCAAGATTAATCAGAATCTTGAAAAAACTCAAGTTTGATTTTAGGGAGTTTGGGCCCTTTCTACTGCAACGGTCCCATATGCAAACTTTTTTTTTAAATTTCATTGTTTAAATCATACATACTAGTTTAGTTATTTTGAATATTACACGGAATTAGAATTTGTCTCTTTAGTATTAAAGTAAGATAAGAGTTAGAGGTTAGGATAGAGCTTTATACATAATAAAAAAATTTTTGTTAGAGCTCAAAAAATAGGGTTATAGACAAAATTAGTATTTTTAAAAAATATTTTTTGTTATACAATATTAATTTATAAATTAATTTAATCTTGAATTCTAATTAGCAAATTTTATTACTTATTTTTTTTTTTAGCTATTAAAATTGCTTTTATTTATTAACACTGTTGAACCTCCCAAAATCGATATGCACGGTCGATAGATTTTGTATAAGTATTGAGAGGTTATCAGATTTGAAAACATAATAAACTATTAGATTTATATAACAGAAACGGACTTGGTAGACTAATTTTTTATCAGATTTGGCAGGTTATCGATTTTGGGAGGGTCAACTGTATTTGGTTTATATAGTGCGCTACGCATAGGGATGATTTTGTTAATAAGTTGTAAATAGTTTAATTTTTTTTACTGTTTTTGTATTAGGTTTTCGAGTATTTAGGCAGAACCAATCAGGAGCCAAACTGCGTGAGAGAAATTTAGTCTAACTTATTAACAAAACCAGCCAAAAGTATTATTTTTTTTATGAAGATTGCTCGAAATTATCTAACATTGAACCTAGGTGCCGCACAAAAAATGCGCGGCAGATCCTCTATTTTGATTGGCTAAGAGCATCGATCAAAAAATTAGGCCAGAATTACTCATAATTTTATTAATGAAATCGCAGCCGCCCATTAAGTGAAAATTGTTCCCGGGCCAATTTTACCATAATTCGGGCTTATTTTTTAAAAAAATTTCTATTTTTGTAATGAAAAAATTAAAAAGTAAATTCCGGCCGGAAATTAGCAAACAATTATGTAATGCGGGCCAAAATTTTGAAGATCCTCGGCCGTTAGCCAATCAAAATCGAGGATCTGCCGCGCATTTTTTGCGAGGCACCTAGGGTTAATTTGGCAAACAATTGCTGCGGATTCTGTTCATAACCCTTGTTAAGCATCACAATGTCACATGATCATCAGCCAGATTCAGTTATTTTTATATATTACAAGTGTAAGTGGGGCGCCCTATTAGAGATCATGTTTTTGATTTCAAAATAACTATATGTTCAAAAATCGCGAAAGTTTGATCTGAATTAGAGAGCTTCTAATAAAACTTGAAGAGATCGAAGGATTTCTCAGGTATAATGTCTATATGCCGCAAAGAGTGATTTTGACTGAACGATTTTGAATATTTTATTTGGTTAATTCACCGGTTAAATTAAAAAGAGCGATAATGCAATATAAATAGTTGGAGTTAGTTTGTATTGATATTGTCATAATTTTTTATAATGAGTTACATTAAAACATTCTTTTATAGAACTTATTTGTTATTCCAGTGACCGAAGTATATGGTTAAGGTCATTTGAATTTGCATTAGAATTTTCATGATTTCAACTATGATACTTAAAAAAGGATCAAATATAGTATAGCGGACACCATCAGCAAATTTTCCGAAAGCTACATCATGTGATTATGTAATGTGGCGTTAGTGGCTTGGTTTTGTATATGCCACATTAGCCACTCACATGATCACATGAAAGAATTGAACTTCCCCTGGATCGCCACCAAAATACTAATAAAATTTTTCGATCACGTGAAACTATCCAATAATAAATCACGCCTTGGTGTAACGTAACACAATCAGGAAGATCCGAAACAAACGTTCGTTTTCAAAAATTCTCCTCTAACTCAAAAATTTACATAAGAAATCACCTTCTGTGCATTAACAAAAAGTTTTTCTTGAGCGATTTTGCTATTAAAAACACATAAACCCTAACCTTAGCACAGACCCTAACCCTAATCTAAACGAACTTAACGATTTTTGTACGATCACGTGATCGAAAAAAAATTGGTGGCGATGCTGGGGAAGATAAAGAATTGAGTAACTTATGCTCATGTAATATCAGATATGTACGATATGTACAGTACGTATGTATGTATACACATATGTATGACATATCTGATATATACATACTGTGAACTCAAATCTTTAGTTATTTACATATCGATATTACAAGTTGCTGTATGCAAAACGGAGAAAGTTTGCTTTGCTTTCTTATTATATATATTGTTTTAGAGGTCACTTTGTTAACAATGATTATACTTATAAGAATATAAAAGATTTAACCAATTGCTATATTTTCAATTAATTTATATCTTACTATATAAATTTCTCATTTTTTACAGTAAATTACAATAGACATTAGCGATAATGCCAATACAAACTAACATAACACAAGCTTTTTGTCTAAATTTTTACAGTAAATTATAATAGACATCGATAATAATGCCAATACAAGATTAACTACATACTGTTGCCACCGCAATAGCGAGTAAGTTTATTAATTGAATTTGTAATGGTTATTTATTTTATGTTTTATCTTAGATATTATAAAACATCATTAAACATCATGGATCAATCAAGATTTTAATGTTATCAATAACAAATGCATGTAATATACATAATTTACAGTAATTATAGTAGACATTAATAATAATACTAATACAAACTAATATTAACTACATATTGTATGTCGTAATCAAAGGATAAAGTATAATTAATAACCATTGCCTACTTAACAAGTAGTATATAACATTATTTATATGCAATATTGTGCCTTATTATAATTTGAATCGATAATAAAGCTTAGATTTTTTCTCTGCATGTTCAATTATTGTATTAATATTTTTAGGTATGAATTTTGTTTTACCAATTTATATATTATTATCGCTTTCAATTTCTATGATTTATATACTATCATCGCTCATAATTTCTATGATTTCTGTAGTAGTGATTTTTGACGGTATAACAGGAGGGCTGAATTCGAACCGGGGCCTGAGATTGGAAAACCGAGCGACCAAGTCCGCTGGCGAGGACACACCAGCTAACCGCTGGGTTGTCGCACTAGAGGAAAAGGGCATATGCTCCGAAAGTATGAACCAAGGGGAGGGCGTCCTTCAGGTACTTAAAGCCTGGGCAGACCGATCCTTCCGGGTTGCCGGCTGGAAGTAAAAGATGGACCAATAAAGAATCCGGGTAAGGAGACGGTCCAAATGTGGGTATCGGGGTTGTTATGAACCGAATAAGGGCAAGGAGTACG